GATGAGTGAGAGCAGTGTATAATCCGGGAGAAAGTGCGCTGAACACCGACACTTGTCTACACCGACCAAAACAAAACTATCACCCACGGCGCACGCGCAGGGACACATGAGGTCTGAGCTGCACAACCCCGGGGAGGGTGCCAACAAGGAAAATGGAACAATAATTAGGAATGTCGAGACAAAAGAAGGAAAGAGATGACTATTAAAACTGGAAACGGCATCGAAAGAGGAGAAAAAGGACAAGAGTACCAACTAGTCCTAGAAAAAAGACTGGAGGTAAGCCCCACTGGAAGGCGACAGACATCCCAACAATGCAGAAGCATCAAAGACCCACTCGAGCCTTCGAAAACCAAGACCAACAAGCACAAATATCCTGGAGGCACAGATGCACCCAAGAGCATCCATGACTAATGGACAAGCAGGACCCAAAACAGCAAAAAATGATTGCGGCATGATGCAGAACACAGGTCCCTGAGAAGAAAGGTGGGAAAATGAAGAAAACGCCCCACAGAAGGATGGGGCCCGATGGACCGGAAGGTGCACAGAACCAAACCCGGGAAGGGGCTGATGCCCAAAGGCAACTCGTACGCAGAGGGGGGAAGGAAAACCCCACTCCTTGTAACAGTAAGCCCCGCTCAGGTCGGAAAACCCAGGCAGGGTCCAACAGGGCCCAAAGCTCCCAAGTCAGCACCTCCCCAACCCTGGAAACCACCACGTCAGGCCCCAGGGGCAAGACGTCCGCCAAAGCCTCGGCCTTACAAGAAAAAGCCGGGGCAGCCGAAATAGCAGGAAGAGAGTGGGCCCACTGGTCAGACCCTGGAGCTACGACTGAAGGAACATATTCAAATGCCTCCGATGCAACCATGGAAGGGGCAACCCCCGAAACTGCCCGAGTCTCAAACCTCAAAAGCTTGCCCTGACCCCGAAGCCCTCAGATGACTAGGAGCCAGAAGCAGGGATTGGGGAAGGGGGGGGGGGGGCGAATGAACGACAGCAGGGAAAGAATAAGAGGCGTGGACTAAACCAAAGCCAACGCGACCAACACCCCCGAAGTCCTGGTCCTGAGAAGCAAAACGGGGCAGCCTTGGGGTATCCGGGGAAGCAATCAAACTAGCGTGTTGCAACAACCTACCCGGTAATGCGTGAGCCGTCTGCACCCGAAGAATGTCATCAACAGATTGGGTGATTGGAGCTACAAACAAACAACAAAGCTCGCAGGACTCGGGTCGAATGTGTCACCAACCCAACTGGCAGCATGATGGAGGCAAAAACAAGGAGTGTTGCCCTGAGACAAGGGGACAGAGCAACCCTCAAACTTGCACAAAGCGAGAGGGGACGCAAGGGTCTCCTCCAATGGACCCAAGTGCCCCCGTGGGGATTTCCAGGGCCCCTAGACTGGGTCTGCTAGGTGTTATCCCAGGCAGGGTACTGCTAACCGGCACCCCAAACTACCAAGCAAACTGCTAAAAGCTGAACTCACGGGACGTGTCTACTCACGAGGGCGAAGCAGGGGGTACCACCACACAACGACCCTAACATAAGGGAGAACACAAGGCAGAATCCCCCACCAGGCAAAAACAAAAAGAAAAGAAAAATCTCGCAAGAGGACCATATACCCGAAGAGAACAGAGTCAAAGCTGTCAAAGATGAAAACTAGCTACACAGTACCCCGCGCCCCACCAGTGGAATAACTACCACTTACCCCAAGGCAAACTAGGGTGGAAACCCCCACACACTCGGGGCGGCCAAACGCCAAGCAGCGAAAGGCCAACAGAGGTAGATCCAAGGCGACTTGTAGAAGGGAACCCCAAGCCCCAAGGGCGGTACTTACAAGGCGAGGGGAAGGGGACCCTAAGCACATGTAGCCCGAGTACCTGAGAATAATACTCCCAGCTCGCACGACCATCATAAGAGCAGCACTGAAAACAATTAACAGCACAGAGAAGACTGGAGCTGGAGCCAAACGACTATGTACAATCCCATCAGCTGATGAACTGAGATGAGGATCGCCAGTGCGAAGGTCTGGGGCTCCCCATTCCCCCTCCTGGGGAAGGGTAGAGCTGCGAAGACATGCGACGCGGCTCGTGTGATGTTATGCTTGTTTGCTCGTTTTTCTTTTGGGGAGTTCTGTCCACTCGTATGACGATTTTCATTGTTAACCAGAATAGGGGTTTGTTTTGTGGCACTTACCTCTCTGGGTGCCTGTCCTGGTCGATGGCAGATAAAGAATGCTCCAAATCACATGTGCATTTCTATGGGCATTGCTCCTCGTGCCTCTGTGAGGGGGCTAGGTTTTGGCTCGTGGTCCCCGGTAGGCCTAGAACTCCACCCACATCGACTGAATCAAAATAGTTAGGGTTTCCATGTAAGTCATGGATTGCTCCAGGAAGCCGTAGGGGCTCCCCCCAGAAAATTCCTCAATGGGAGCCGGCCGGCCGAGCAGACAGCACGCTGGACACGTGATCCTGTGGTCCCGGGTTCGATACCGGGCGCCGGCAAGAAACGATGGGCAGAGTTTCTTTCACCTTATGCCCCTGTTACCTAGCAGTAAATAGGTACCTGGGAGTTAGTCAGCTGTCACGGGCTGCTTCCTGGGGGTGGAGGCCTGGTCGAGGACCAGGCCACGGGGACACTAAAACCCGGAAATCAACTCAAGATAACCTTAAGATAAGACGCTGAATGCAAGCAAAAGTGATAGGCACAGGAAAAGGCAATAAGAGTGCCAACGAACTTTTTACTATGATGGTGATGAAAGATACAGGAGGAACATCAAAAGGGCCAAAATCTATGAATCATATTGATGGTAATAGGCCAAGTAAATAACTTCAAATGCACAGATTGGAGGAAAACCTCAAACCATAGAGGAACATCTCTTGACCAATCCTCTGAAAGAGGCAGAAAAAAGTACATAGGTACAGACAACGAATCATGTGAATAATAATAATAATAACAATAAACTTCATGGCTGAGCAGACCACCAAGGAGCCAGGAGGAACACCCTGATAGCAAACATCTCTAGCCTGGACAATGCCAGAAGCAACAGCTGAACTGGAGGAAAGAGGTACAGGAACCCCTACCAGTTTCAGCTCAGATGAAAAAGCATCCACTGTTAGAGTCTCTCAATCAGGGAATGAAGCCACACAAGATGGAAGCCACCATTTCCATGCTGACAAAGAGAGGTTCACAGTGGGTGCACTTGATTGTCCCACAGAGTCAATGGTAGAACATTACTGATGTAGAAATAGGACAAACAAGAAGGACCATCTGCAAGTATGTTGGACATGGTCCATATGTGAACTGTGGAAAGCAACTCTGTGAGTAGCTATTCTCAGAGTTTGTCGACCCTTCCCCCTAGGGATTCAATGATCCACTGTGAAGCAGCCAGAGTAGAGCCAGATCACAGAGGCCAGAGGGAGATAATTATGCCACAGAGCCTGTCACACTGCTGCAAAGTCACCAACCATGTTGTTTACTTGGAAGAGGACCCACAAAACAGCCATAGGAGACCCGATGAGCACTGGTCACAAAACTCTATCCCAGATCTGAGGCATCCATTAAGAGATCATGTGACAGGGAAGAAAGATGCCACAGCACCAAATCCCAAAAACCTTTAAGAGAAAATTAGTGAACCAAAAGCTGTCAAAGGGCAAATGAAGCATGCATCCTATTATCCCAGTGGTGGTAAAATGGGTGGTACTGAAGGATCTAGTACAGTGCCTGGAGCCAAACTATGTAGGTAGAGTTCAGCTCTCACACAACTGCTTGAGCAAACACCAGACAAAGGCATGCCAGTAAACAGAGCTACCAGCTGGAAAGCAAGGGAAGAAGACTGGGAATCACAGACCAGGCCCAACCAGGTGCAAACCTATAATAAACCAATTGGGACTTCTGCCAGATCACCAAGAACCTGAGGTGGGCATGCTGGAGAAAAACCAGATCTCTGGCTTACAAACATGTGGACTGGCTGGAAGCCTAAACCAGGTTAGCCGAAACATGTAACAACCATAAAAATTACCATCCATACTTTTGTAAAAATAAACACTTCATTCACCTGGACTTTCCTTTTAAGACTACTCATTTTTCTACTACTTAAAACTTTCCTTTTAAGACTACTCATAACCGAGTTGATAGAGCTACAGCCTCACATGCGTGGAGACGAAGGTTCGAGACCCATACAGTCCAGGTGACTAGAATGTAACCACCATATTTGTCAATCTCGTAAACATCTGAGGAGCCAGATTCAAGTGGAATGAGAGAACCTATAAGTGGTAAGCATGATACCTCACCATGAACCATAACCAGCCTCTGAACTTGGGGTGAATAGGAACATGCTAATAAGCATCCCTCAGATCCAGGGATACCATTGAAGCACCGGCCTATGCTCACATGAAAGGCTTGACAAGGAATGAAGTGATTCAATCCAATGAGGGTTGAGAATATACTGCAGATTCAGAAAGTCCTGCTTGGGGACCAGTAACAAATGGAGACACCTACCACAAAGTAAGGGTTAACTTAGCCAGCTTAGAGGTAAACCATGTCATGATGATCAAATGGCTGCCAGGTCAATTATAAATCCAGGACCCCTGACACCAAAGGAGGGGTCAAGGACAGTCTCCGCTGCCAAGACACCTCATGATAGGGTTATGCATCATGGGTTCAAGAGCTCAGAAAACAGGGCAGATGTTCTCCCACAGCACTGTCAAATGGACATACTGAAAAGGGTTGGCATGAAAACACAGGAGTAGACTCTGCAACAAATGAGAATGGCACCAACCAGAAGGGATGAATTCTGAAGTAGTTTGCTGATTGGATGGACCATAAGGTTAGGTAACGTAGTTTCATTTTAAAATAAATATTTTCTGTTTAATTTAGAAATATATTATGTTGAAATATAAGATGAGAAATCAATGCCTAAACTGGCTTTGTTATTATTTACACGTGCCCCTTCACACGTATGAACATAAAAATACTGAATACCGTATACAGTATATATTTCTTACCTTATCCAGTACCACCACTCGGGCAATGTTTCTCATTATAAGAGAGAAGGCATTTTTGGCCGATACGCAGAAGTTCTTCCCATATATGGCACAATATACATATGCATTCCTGAAACATATTATATGTAATTAAATTTAGGCATTTAATATTGCAGAGATTCATTAACATTTATCTCTAAGAAGGCTCTGGTGTATATTCAGTACAGAATAGGGTCAAAGGAAGCCTGCTGTAAATGACAAAATAAAAAGTTGAACCTACCTATTAATAAATTTCAGGAACTTTTCCAAGCACCAGAGACAGCAGCGGCAGCAGCACATGATACAACGTATAATCTTGCTATCTGTTTTTTCTCTAATCTTATGATCAATGTATTCCAGTATCACTCGAATCATTCGCACAATGGCAATGATAAGGGACCCAAATGCCAATGTGCCTATATGGTACCTAGATGGAACAATAAAAAAGAATTAATATAAAATTTTCTTGGAAACTTGGTAATACAGTAAAGTATGTGTATACATTATATTTTCATATTTTATCTAGTACTATTTGAAAAGACTACTCAAAGGTAGACAAAAGTTATTAACATTGCCTCATAACAAATTACTAAGCTATATGAATCATAATTTTCATAATTGAAATTGAAATAAGTTTATTGAGGTATCAATACACACAAAGGGGTAAGGAAGCTTAAGCTATTCTCACCCCGTTCAGTATATGTTCATATATATACACACATATACAGTATACACTTGATTTAACGACCTATATGGGATTGTACCCTTTCTTCTTCTTCTTCGCAATACGTGCAGTTTGCATGAAGGTATATCCTCTGAATGACTGCACGAGTGGTAATGTAGAAAGATGCGTATATGACAATACACAACAACACATCAACAGTCACGACATGCCCGAGTCAAGAAGATAACGACGCCATCAAGGCGGGTGAGGATAAAGGCAAAATAAACAAGAGGAAAGGAATATAGGATGGGAATAAAGAAAACAGAAGGCAAACGCAAAGCGTCGCGGCAGTAAAGAAAGTGAGGGACGGAGGCAAGAGACGAAGGGCAGGGGCAAAAGATGTGAAGGAGGCAAGTGCGAATGTGTAGAAAGGTAGAGGAAGTCAAGAAGGGACAGGCGAGGTTAGAACATGGCAAGGTACGTAGATGGCATCCGGAGCCTCACGACTGGGATGCTAACTCATTGGACTCCGCAGAAGTGCCAGCAGGACAACGGGAGGAAGACCCAGGGTGCGAGGACAAGTCGTGGGAGAACACGATGTAAGAGGGCCCATCAGGCAAGGTAGCAGGGTGCTTGGAAATCGAGACGACAGAGGATTGCTTCAGCATAGTACTGGGGGCAGAGATGTGCGGCAAGGCAGCCTGGGGAGAGACAGGGAAGGCTCGCCAAAGAGTTCTGAAGGGCGTTGTCCAGCATCGATTCAAATGCATTGGAGATAGCAGAGGCAGCTGTGGGAGAATGAACGTCAACCGGAGAAGAAGCGGAGGAGAAGAGTGATGGGTCAGCCTCAGGAACGGGAAGGACAGACTGCAGAAAGAATTTAGTGATGAGGTGGACCAGCTCCATCTCGAGTGCATCCACAACGCGAGCGACAATAGCATCAACAAGATCGGGACTCAGTTAAATGGCGGGTGGTGAGAGAAGAAGCCTCAGAGGCAAGAGGAACGTCAGTGACAAACAGGTCAGGCACAGGCTAAGGTGGCGACAGAGGGGGAAGCGGTGAGTGACAAGAAACCAGGGCAGGATGAGGCAAAGCACGACTGGAAGGCGGAGTGACGACGGGAAGAGCCTTAGTAAGCGCCGCAACGTAGGAAGGACACTGCTTGAAAGTGATGGCATGATCACCACCACAGTTGGGGCAACAGAGCTTGTCAGACTCAGTCACGGGTGAAATGAGAACCAGAGCATTTGCCACAACGGATGTCATTGGTGCAGCCATGGGAGGTATGGTGAAAACCCTGACAATGAAAGCACTGAGTGGGACAGGGAACGTACACCTCCAATTTATAGAGGAAGCCATTAATCCAAACCCGATCAGGGGGGAGGGAGGGAGGGAGTCAAGAAAAGTAAGGAGGGCAGTGCTGGTATCACACAGGTCACCATCAATTCTACGCATAAATTTCTTGACACCAAAGACCGGAATGTCAGCATCCTGCAGTTGTGCCTTGATGTCATCCGCTCTAACATCAATAACATGCCGGACCACATATCATACCAAATGGTCACCCAGAGGCATATTACAACGGACCATGTAACCACAGATATCAGAAACGTCCGAAAGCATCAAGTCCCCGGAGCAAGCATGGTCCATGGCAATCAAGTTCCTGCATTTATTCGGCCTGAAATTGTGCACCTTGATCTTAAAGAACTCGGGAACGGCCTGATAGAAAAGACTGACTGCCCTACTATTTCCAAAAATACTCCGATCAGCGGGCGTATCGGCATCAAAGGCGATGATGAACGTACGTAAGCCAGGAGAACTCGTCCAACCGAGAGGGAGTGGATGGCGTAGAGACAGAGGTTGCAGAGGATGACAGGGCTCTGCAGGACCCAGGCGATATTTTGCCTCCAATCTATTAGCCTTACTATGATGTTTACTGTGCAGAAAACACCCTCGGGGTCATCATCCAAGACCGGGAGAACATCGTGACTGGAATGCGTGCCAAGAGACAACGGGTCCTGAAAACCCTCAAAGGGATCGGAAATGTTCACAGGAGAAACACTGTGTGAACCACCATCCGTCGCCATGGTCGGCTGGCAAGTCGGACTGTACCCAGGTCGTTAAATCCGGGGCTCCGCTAAATTCAGAGGTTTTAAAATGTTGGTAACTTTTTAGTGATATTTGGGAGAGCAACAGGATGGATGGCGGGCTGGCGGACTGGCTGGCGGATTGGCTGGCGGATTGGCTGGCGGATTGGCTGGCGGATTGGCTGGTGGATTGGCTGGCGGGCAGGCGGGCTGGCTGGCGGGCTGGCTGGCGGGCTGGCTGGCGGGCTGGCTGGCGGGCTGGCTGGCTAGTTATCTTAACTGGCTGGTTCAGGCAAGTGGGTTGGATGGATGAATGGGTCACTGGCTGGCTGGCAGGCAGGCAGGAGTGAGGGTGGGCAGGTGGACTAGCTGGGGTAGTGGACAGGCAGGGTGGATGGATGGATTGGTGGCTGATTGGCAGGTAGGCCAGGTGGGTAGGGTGAGTGGGTTTGGGTGGGCTGGGTGGGCAAGTGGGATTCAAGCTGGGGATTGGGGGGTTGGCAGGCGAGCATTGGATGGATGGATTGGTGGGTGGCTGGCTGGCTTTATGTGCACGGTCAGGCAGGCAAGCTGGCTGGGCAGGTGGGCAGGTAGGCTGGCTGACTGTGCACTGACTATGGACTGGCTGGGTGGGCAGGCAGGCGAACAGACTGGCTGGGTGGGCGGGCAGGCGAACAGACTGGCTGGGTGGGCAGACTGGCTTTGAGCAGACTGTCTGGGTGGGCAGGTGGGTCCACCCAGCCTGGTCTGAGGCCTGGTCTGGCCTGAAGCCTGGCCTGAGTTCTGGCCTGAGGCATGGTCTGGCCCCGAGGCCTGCCAGTCTAGCCACCATCCCCACTCCCCTACTGCCGACCTAATATAACCCCCCCCCCCCTCCTCGCACCTTACCACCAGCAGCTGGCCACAACCCCCCCTCCCCTAACCACTGGTGGACCGCCAACCCCCCCACCCTCCTCTTGCCAGTTTGTTGAAAATTTGGTGATTTTGCTTGATTGGATTTAATAATGATCATATATGTAACATTTTTATACCAAATTGTGTGTAAGTGATTGCTCTATCAAATACCACAGTGAAAATGAAGAATTCATAATGGATTTTTGTATGAATATTTATATCGACTGATACAGTTGGCTTATGAAAATCCTGGCCATTACGTCATATTTGCGGCCTCCAAATTTTTCTTCTATGGGGAGCTGGACGGACCGAGCGGACAGCACATTGAACTTGTGATCCTGTGGTCCCGAGTTCGATCCCGGGCGCCAGCGAGAAACGATGGGCAGAGTTTCTTTCACCCTATGCCCCTGTTACCTAGCAGTAAATAGGTACCTGGGAGTTAGTCAGCTGTCACGGGCTGCTTCCTGGGGGTGGAGGCCTGGTCAAGGACCGGGCCGCAGGGACACTAAAAAAGCCCCGAAATCAACTCAAGATAACCTTAAGATAACCAATAACAGTCACATACTAGTTATGATTTTGATATGGACTTGTTCACCAATGATGGTTCTATCATGTGCCATGTTGAAAATGATAAATACATAACAAATAGATTTTGTGATTTTATTTATATTGGCTGTAGGACTTCTGTTCTTTTCACATGGAGGGGTGAGAGCCTGGGGCTGACAGGTAGAACGAATTCCGCGGCTAGTGGAATCGGCCTCGCCCCATATAGTTCGTTCAAGTGAGGACACACTGTATTATAATTCTTCATACTTATTCTATTCTGTTTTGAAATTTTTAGTTTTGGTGTTTCATTATCATCACTTGTACTGCTATTATTTATCAGTTCTTTTAGGAATGTTATGTGTACACTCAAAACTCCAAGTAGTAAAGTTGTAGACTAATGCTCAAGCTCTCCAATCATGTTTGTTAACTCTCATAATTACCCTACCTTTCTAGTACACTATATACTCCTCCTTCCTTCCTCCAGGTCTTTCTTGGCAGAGTTAATCTAATCTATATTTTGCTTTAACGTTGTTTATTCAAACCTTATCAAAACTAATTCCTTCACTGTTTAGCAAATTTGTTAGAAGTTTTTTTCTGTATTAATTAGTATACAACAGTAAGAAAGATGTTAGCAGCATACTTGCAAAGTAGAATTAGACACAACTGGTTTTATTGTACCTACTAGATATACTGTATAATTACTATTTAATTATTTCTAAAGTATACAGAGGACAATTTATATTACCTGATAGTTCTGCCAAAACTGTATGTAACCGCCAGTGTTGGAACATCTTTGGACTTGTCGAGGGCCCAATACCATGAAGCAAAGGCTCCTGCTAACACCATCTCTCCAAATGCAGAAACAAAGAACATGGACCAGAACAGTGCAAACACATTGTAGATCTGTTGATATCATAGGATGACTTTAATTATTTAAAGAAAAATGAGACTTTAAATAAGCAACCTCTTGCATACTTTAAATGTGTTCATGACATTTTTCATTATAAAAGTCAACTAAGAAATCCAAACAGTTCTCACACACTGGAAGTTTTAGAGATACATTGCATGTAAACTAAATTACATTTTAAAGAATATGTTTGTAATAGAAGGATTCTTAGCCATTCACTAATATGACTGTTTAGACTTTTGTGGTGTTCAATGAACAGTACACATGATGAGTCAATCTCAGGCCAACATCTGGATCACCTAGTTCTTTAACAAATTACAATTTTTAAATCAAACTATGTTCTTCATCTATAAACAAAATTCATACACTTGTGCTTTGCAAATATCACCATACTTGCACATCTTATCAACTACATGAAGAAAACTTACCAAATATCTTAAAGTTTTGTATTCAATATCACTTCAGCATAATATTGTTAATATAAGAAGTCCATTCTAAGAAATAATCATCTGAGAAATTTTTGATATGTGTAACATTATACTTTGTTATATAAACGCTATTCATGTAGGGTGGCTCCACTTCTTTTAGCTCCGCCTCTTTCAGCAGGTCGAGCCAGTGAGGAACCTCGCTGGTTCGCTTTACTGTTCCTCACTACACGTCTTCTTTCTAACGCGTGTGTATCGCCATTTATATGGCTGGTTTCTTTGACAATGTCCCACCTACGGTCTTCTTCCCAGCGATAGTATGAAGTTTTTTGGCGACATTTCCCTCACTTTCTTTCTCTTTGAAGGTTTTTCTTGATTTTGGACCAGGTTGTTTTGTCCTTTTTCTCTTGGCTTTTTCTGGATCGGCATCTCATGCCTAATACTGTACTGTCAATTCTTATCACGTGGCATTGGCAGGGCTGCTCCAGCTTGGATTCGGGGTGCATGTTGCTTCTGCTCTGTTCAGCAAGCTTTCACATGCATTTTTTCACCTCTGGCCTGCTCATGTGCTGCCTGAGCCTTCTTGGTCTTTAGACCATGTTCCTTTTTTTCATTCTTCCCCTTGCTTTGTTGTAGCTCCTTCGGTTAGGGATTTTTTTGGATGGCCTTGGCCTCTGGGAGTAAGGTTGGGGAGCTTTATGCTCTTCTCCAACCGGTGTTAGGCTGGGGGTGCATCACGTGTTGTGTCCGGTTCTAGTTTTATGCCGCTACCTGCGGGCCACTGGCTCTGTGACGGTGGATGCTCTTTGGGTGGATCTGGTTTCCCCTGGTTCCCTGTTCCAGGACTCATGTGTCTCTGGTTGTCCGCAATGTCATAAAGTCCAATCAGCCTGCGGGCTCTGCTCACGACACCAAACTGGTTGGTGGGGTTCTGGGAGTTCTTCTACTCCCCAAGCCCGGCCCGAGGCCAGGCTTGACTTGTGAGAGTTTGGTCCGCTAGGCTGTTGCTTTGACCGGCCCACAGGCCCACCACAGCCCGGCTGGTCCGGCACTCCTTGGAGGAAACAATCTAGTTTCCTCTTGAAGATGTCCACAGTTGTTCCGGCAATATTTCTTATGCTCGCCGGAAGGGTGTTGAACAACCACAGACCTCTGATGTTTGTACGGTGTTCTCTGATTGTACCTATGGCACCCCTGCTCTTCACTAGTTTTATTCTGAATTTTCTTCCATATCGTTCACTCCAGTACGTTGTTATTTTACTGTGTGGATTTGGTACTTGGCCCTCCAGTATCTTCCATGTGTATATTACTTGATATATCTCTTGTCTTCTTTCTAGTGAGTACATTTGGAGAGCTTTGAGACAATCCCAATAATTTAGGTGCTTTATTGCATCTATGCATGCAGTACATGTTCTTTGTATTCCCTCTATTTCAGCAATCTCTCCTGCTCTGAAGGAGAAAGTGAGTACTGAGTAGTACTCAAGACGGGACAACACAAGTGGCTTGAAGAATACAACCATTGTGATTGGATCCCTGGATTTGAAAGTTCTCATAATCCATCCGATCATTTTTCTGGTAGACGCAATATTTGCTTGGTTATGCTCCCTAAACGTTAGGTCGTCAGACATCATTATTCCCAAATCCTTTACATGCTGTTTTCCTACTATGGGCACATTTGATTGTGTTTTGTACCCTTTATTATGTTTAAGGTCCTCATTTTTCCCGTACCTGAGTACCTAGAATTTATCACTGTTAAACATGAAGTTATTTTCTGTTGCCCAGTCGAAAAGTTTATTAATATCTATCTTGAGGTTATCTTGAGATGATTTCGGGGCTTGTTTTTAGTGTCCCCGCGGCCCGGTCCTGGACCAGGCCTCCACCCCCAGGAAGCAGCCCGTGACAGCTGACTAACACCCAGGTACCTATTTTACTGCTAGGTAACAGGGGCATAGGGTGAAAGAAACTCTGCCCATTGTTTCTCGCCGGCACCCAGGATCGAATCTAGGACCACAGGATCACAAGTCCAGCGTGCTGTCCGCTCGGCCGACTGGCTCCCTGCTTGAAGTTTTTCAATGTCTTCAGCCGAGGTAATTTTCATGCTGATTTTTGTGTCATCTGCAAAGGATGATACGAAGCTGTGACTTGTATTTTGTCTATATCTGATATGAGAATAAGGAAAAGCAGCGGTGCAAGGATTGTACTCTGAGGTACGGAACTTTTAACTGCTCTTGGACTTGATTTTATATGATTGACTGTTACTCTTTGAGTCCTGTTTGACAGAAAACTGAGTATCCAGTGTCCTACTTTACCGGTTATTCCCCCATTGACCTCATTTTGTGTGCTATCACTCAATGGTCACATTTATCGAAAGCCTTTGCGAAGTCCATGTATACCACATCAGCATTCTGTTTTTCTTCTAATGTCTCAGTGGACTTTGTTGTAGTAATCAAGGAGCTGTGAGAGGCATGATTTTCATGCTCGAAATCCATGTTGGCCCGGGTTGTGAAGGTCATTGGTGACCTGACTCCTAATCACTCTCTCAAATACTTTTATTATATGCGACGTAAGTGCAACTGGTCTATAATTCTTTGCCAATGCTTTGCTCCCTCCTTTGTGTAGAGGGGCTATGTCTGTTACTTACCTGAGTGCCTGTGCTACCGGTACTTTGTATTTCTTTATAAATATTGAATTCTATGAATCTGGACCCGGAGCCGAGTACATGGGCATGTTTTCAATTTCTCTTTCAAAGTCTAGTACGCTCATGTTGATATCAGTTATATTTACAGGGGTTTGGATATCCCGCATAAAGAAATTGTCTGGATCTCTGGGCTATCCTTGTGCCCATGACATTTGGAAGTATGCTGCTCTCGCAGCAGTTTTTGGCTACATGTCTTGTGTTGACATTCAGGCACGGTGGTTTTGGAGGTTGAACATGGCCCTAGCCACCAGGTATCTAGTGAACATTCTGGTTCCTTCCCGGCCATGTGTGGCTTTGGGGCGTCGGTCACTGCCATCTGTCTCTTCTTTGTCTTGAGACCTGTGTGGAGGAGGACAGTCCTCCTCTGTCTTAATCTTTCTCATAATTTTGGCATCGTCAGCAAACATTGAGAGAAATGAATCTATACCCTCCGGGAGATCATTTACATATTTCAAAAACAAGATAGGACCGAGTACAGAGCCCTGTGGGACTCCACTGGTGACTTCACGCCAATCTGAGGTCTCACCCCTCACCGTAACTCTCTGCTTCTCATTGCTTAGGTAGTCCCTTATCCACTGGAGCACCTTACCAGCTACACCTGCCTGTCTCTCCAGCTTATATACCAGCCTCTTATGCAGTACTGTGTCAAAGGCTTTCCAACAATCCAAGAAAATACAGTCTGCCCAGCCTTCTCTTTCTTGCTTAATCTTTGTCATCTGGTCATAGAATTCTATTAAGCCAGTCAAGCAAGATTTACCTTCCCTGAATAAAAGTTAGCGATTTGTCACGAAGTCCCTTCTCTCCAGATGTGTTACTAGGTTTTCTCTCACGATCTTCTCCATCACCTTGCATGGTATACAAGTCAAGGACACTGGCCTTGATTCATTTGTTGTGTGGTCCACTTGTGTGATCCAACTTTTCTTATGAAGGAATTATTAATTGTAATCTGTGATAGAATGAGACAGTTTTCCACCACTCTGTAAACTCTGTCCCAACATTGTAAGCTTGTGGTCCACTTGTGTGGTCCACTTATGTGGTCCAACTTGTCATATGAAGGAATTATTAATTGTAACCTGTGACAGAATGGGAAAGTTTTCCACCACTCTGTGAACACTGTCCCAACATTGTAAGCTTGTGGACCACTTGTGGACCACTTGTGGACTACTTGTGGACTACTTGTGCGGTCCACTTGTGTGGTCCACTTGTGTGGTTGAACTTGTCATATGAGCGAATTATTAATTGTAATCTGTGATAGAATGGGAAAGTTTTCCACCAGTTTGTGAACTCCACATCGTAAGCAAATCCGAACATCCCCCGCTTTGGCGAACCATTGTTCGTCGAACCGGGTGAGTAAATCTGGCCTGAAAAGTGTGCGAACTAGCCAGAGATTCGTTAACACTTAAAGTGCGCATCACTTCATATGAAGTGTAAATCGTTTTACCAGTCAACTGCGCTTCACTTCATATGAAGTGTATGGGTACCGCGCACGATTTGAATGGCCCGCGGTGTAGCTGGGGGTCCCATACGCTGCCCAGGGGCTCTAGTAAACAGCGGCCATTTTGAAAAAAATTCCCGCTCACGATCCGAAGGCATGGGAGGCCTCAGTTTAGCGAGAGTCACCATGGCGAGCGCACGGTCAAACGCCTCACGGGCACGCACCACTCAGTCCCTCACCCCAGAGCAAATAGCCCACGAATTATTCTCTGAAGGTGAAGAAAGTGTGTTTGACGATTCAGACAACGATGAGGATTATACACAGTTGTCGGGTGATAGTAGCAGCAGCAGTGAAAGTGAGAATGACCGCCATGCCATGGCGAGGCCTATACGCTCTCCCATGCCTCCTCGCCCATTTTCTACCCCAATTCTACCACGA